CAGCCTTAATGTTCAGGAGCAAGCAGACAGAGGTGATCTAGAATCTCTTTGCTGTTCTATTGTGCTCGCTGGAGCAGCAGATTCAGTAGATAGTGGGGAATATTTTAACCCTATTAGTATTTGGATGTTTAGCTACAGTGCTCTTAGATCTGTCTAAAAATACATTGAAAGGATATTGGAGGGTGGGGAGACAAGAAAAAGGAAAATGAAACAGAGAAAAACAACAACAAAAAGAAAAAAAAAGACAAAAAAATTTAAAAAATTAAAAATTTGTAATTACCGTTCTTTTTTAAAAAAAAAATCACAAAATAGAAAACCGCGGCACGCTTGCGCGCCACGTGAAAAATCTAGTTCACTGTAGCCATGTGGAACCTTGTCCTGAAGGCCCGTGGCTTCTTCTGCCTGGATGGGAGGAGCAGAGTCAAAATTAACAAGAAAAAAGGTGGAGCTAAGAGCCAGAGAAAAACTGTGCCTTTTTAAAAAAAAAAGGGTAAAAAGGAAAAATTACCAAAAAAAAAGGGAAGACAGAAGCAGGGAAAGACAGGAACTGAGAGACAGAGAGAGAAGGAGGCTGGGGGTGCAGGGGGGGCTCCCTACCACTAGCTCGTTTGTTGGAGGCTGAATTATTAGTAGAAAATCTTCATTCCCTTAAAAATCTAGTTCATTGTAGCCATGTGGAACCTTGTCCTGAAGGCCTGTGGCCCAAATGATTAATTCTTAATTTTTGTGTAGATAATTAGTAGAGAGTATTGTATAATCAAAGAAACATTCTTGTGTTATTGCTGTTGAATTTGAATCTCTCCCTTTTAAGATTATATTTATGGGGCCAGCAGGTGGCATGGTGATTAAGGTGCTGAACTCCCAAAGTGACCAACCATGGTTTGAGTCCCAGACCTGGCAACTTCCTTTCTCACTTTCCCTCCCTCACTCTCTGTCTCTTTCTGGTGAGTACATGTGCCCTATCACAAATTAATAATAATAATAAATAAATAAAGTTGAATAAATAAATGTTTTTTTAAAAACTATTATATTTATGATAAACTGATTTTTAAAAATCGGATAAACTTTCTTTTCTTTCAAGTTATTCTATTCTTCCATCCCACTTGGTATGGTTTTTATATGTTTTTAATTTTAAAATATGGCTCTCTTATTTTCTTCTGTCACTTTTTAATTGAGTAATTTTTATACTGTCTGTTAAGAATTGTACTTATTTCACGTTTTAAAATTGATACTTCTTTTCTTTTCTTTTTTTGGCGAGGTTTTTGCTATAGGGTGCATGCGCTCACCACAAAGACAGAGAGAGACAAAGAGATAGAAAGCGAGAAATCACACCCCCAGAGGAGATGACCATCCCGCAATCCCTTCTCCTCCATTCTCCTCTTGGGATCTTGGGCATGCATGCGCACGCACCTGGCGT